TTGATTAACTTATATCCTTAGCGCGGACTATATATACTTTATCTTCGGTGGATGTTCATTACTGGGGGCAGGTGGGGGTACTAGGAGTGGATGCTCCTCAGGGGGGTGGCTGGGGTGATTTGGATGCTACCCCAGGGTCCCAACGTCTCATCCAGCGTCCCGTCGTGTCCACTCACTGACGTCCCTTGTTGCCAGGAGTGTCTCGCTCAGCTCCCCTCAACCAGGGACGTCAATGACTTGTGTGGGACACCAGCCAGAGTGTCACAGGCTGCTAGGAGCTCTTAGCAACCTGGGACACTCATGACCCAATGAGATGCCATCTGAGGCAATCGCCCCAGGTTGTTTTATCATAGCGATGGCTCTAAATAAACCCCCTAACTGTCAAGGATAGAACAGGGTAGAAAATATAGATTTATTTGGGGTTTTTTGCATGGCGTATGCTTATTGGACTCACTAATTGGCAAGGTCAAGGTTTGGTTCAGTCAGAAATTTTTACAAACTCTTATGTATATGTTGATATAAAAATCACAAAGTATACTCTGTAACGCATGGAAATGCATAAAAAATGCATACAAACGCACTGGAATGCACCTGAAAGCCCATTTTAAGCTTTAAAAAAAATTGCTCCGAAAAGCAGCAAAATCGGGGTAAAACGCAGAGCACTGCGTTCCAGATCTGGTCTGGAAAATGGTGTGAACCTGTCCTAAGTTGCAGCAGGGGTAGTTTGAATTTCAAATCCAGTTATTTGGTCAGTCTGGTCACCTCCAAAAGTAAAGAAATCTAAAGTCCATTTGCGTGTGTTACTAGCACAGTTACCTGTCTGTGGCCATGATAAGAACAGAAGTTTCACAACGTTTAGTTGAACATTGAAATGATTTGCGAAACTGAATGACTTGCACAGCTTAGATCTTTGTACTTTGTATTTCAACTGATTATACTCGGAGAGAAGTTATGCGGTATTTCTTATCTGAATAGTGTAGGTCTGTTTCATGCAGTGAATGCTCTTGACTTTTGTACAGAAAAGCAGCTACATCTTTGTTTAGGCCTGGACAAATGTCACCAGAGCTGGTAGCTTTGTCATTTAAAGCTACATGACTTATGATCATTATAATGGGAGCCATCAATAGAGTGGAGCATCTTCAGTCATTCTTTTACAAGTAAAGCTTCTCATAAGCATTGTAATTCAAAATCTCAATGTATGTGAATACAGCTTGCAGCATAAATATAATTGTATGGGTTGCTATGTTATGGTGAAGAATAAAGGGGAAGTCAGAAATAAGACACTATCGGCATAAGGGGAAGTGGCAAACAGAAAAGGTTTACTAAACTGCCTAAACACGTTTGCCCTTTATCCCCATATGCATGTAATTCCCAGATCTGGCCAAATGTAACCATATAGGGGAGGTACTTATCATAGGTCTGTTCAGAAATTATCTGGTAAAAAATAATTTACTTAAAACAGACTTTGCAGAACATAAATCAGGGTTGCCTGCTCAAAGTTTTAGAACAATGAACGTGGCCGTAAACTCAGGAGTTAGGCCCCTTTCACACGGGCTGATCAGGAGAGGATCCATGCACAGATGCACATCAATACGGAGCAGATGTCACCACTGTGACATCTGTGTCCGTACAGTTTTTGTCCTCCATCTTGCAAAGGAGGAATAACCTGCATTTACTGGACCCCATGTGTGTCTATGGGCAATCTGATGTAAACAGACATGTGTCAGTTTACATCATATTACCCCTGATCCGGCACGATTTAGTACGGCTAAACGGAACACTGTTCCGTTTGTGTCCCCGGACCCGGCCGGAGGCGGGGGAACTGGGTGTAAATGGACAAGCTGCTTGAATTGGACATCTGATCGGATCCACCTGAAAAACTGACAGGCAGACCCGATTGGAGAGGTCGTGTGAAAGGGGCCTTAAACTTTACACATGCATTCAAGTACCTCAACTATTAACAAAAATGTAGCTTATTTGTGCATGTAGTGAGGGACTACAATCTCAATGCAAATTAGTGAACTAAATGTGAAATTGTAGTCATCACAGGAGTGAGCTTGGAGCGGTGACTAGTTTACAACACACACAGGGACCGTGGGGAACAAAAGTAGCCACCCTCCAGAAGGAAGGACAGTGTCAGCACCAATTCAGAGATGATTTGAGGATCTACAGCTGAGTGATACAGAAAATAAGATACATTTTTGTTAATAGGTAAGGTACATGAATGCATTTTTAAGATTTAACTCCTGAGTTTAGTGTCACTTGAAGTGAGTAAAATAGTACTTGTGGCATGCTCTTGTTCAGAGAGCCTGGCTACTAATTCCTAATGATAAGAACGCTCAAATATCGAGGTTTGTTGGTCATGTGATGTTTTATCCTTGGTTCATCCTGCCCTGAGCTGCATACAGATTTCAATGTAGAACTAGCAACTCTGGCATGTTATATATAGAACCACATTTTAGACCATTTGCAATATATATGTATGTGTGTATGTGTGTGTGTATATGTATATATATATATATATATATATATATA